GCAGGCTGATGTTCTCTAGAGATATTGTAACATCCTTAGAAGATGCATTGAAAAAAACCTACTAGTTTTTATGTATCACCTCTTTCAGCATTTCAGATACCATGCCTAACAAAGCATGTGTATAATCAATGAAAATTATATAAAGGAATATTATATAATTTAATAAAATTAAGAAGTTATAAAAATGAAATAAGCAAGAGAGTTAGGCACAGTGAGACAAAGAGAACAAATAGGAGGCTTACCTGTGTTGTGGGACTTGCTCAGGAAACTCCAGTGGATCTTCCAAAGAGAGAAAGATCTTCCCCTACTGATAGTCAGCTCTTAAATGGGTCTAGGAGAGGTGGAGCCAGGCTCCACCCCTTCCTGCAGCACAGGTGAATTGCTTTCACCTGTGCTCCCAGGGCTGACTCATTGCTCGCCTCAGGTGACTAATCAGAGGTTCAGGCCGTGACTCAGCAGTTCCCATACAGCATGGCAGGGGGTTTTGCACTTGCTGCTGCTGTAGTAATTTCTGCTCTGCCACTCACGTGCTCAGGACAAGCATGCTCTGATTTTGGGGGATTTAACAGAGGCTCAACAGGAGGTGGTCACATCCTTTTCTGCTCTCTCATTTATACCACCAAAAAATTCTCCAACTTTTAAAATTCTGTGACAGTATGATATAAGTTCATCTACTTGGTATAAATTTGAAGTAATTTTAAGCTGAAAAAGAATAGGTAATTGATTGGTAAAAATAACAAGAAATAGCAGAAGCAGGTCAGTAATAATCAACTGAGTCAAAAGCTTTTGTATTTGTACATACTGTACATGTAAGTGGAAAGAAAGGGAACATAAAAATTACTCAGGCCTTCTAAAATACTACTAAAAATCCCACTGAACACAGCACTACAAGACAAAAAAAAAAAAAAAAAAGCATTTCATATTGCAGCATCTTGTAAAATTTTATTCAATTGAAGTATATTTTTATTTCATTATTTTTATTTCATTAATCAAGATCATCAGCAGCCACCAGGCCCATCAGCCATGCTTCTTCTGCACACTTCTCTACATAATCCAGTTATAATCCAATATAAGGAGTTTTGATTTTTTTTTCTGTTGTTGTTCATCCTTTCCTGATTTCATTTAAAAATAAACTTTTTCCTTATTTATTTCTAAAATTTTTGCAAATTGAAGTTTCCTTTGCCCCATCTAAAAGACTATATGGAACTATTTATAGGTAGTTTTATTATTATATTGTTTTGTCTTGTTTTTGAATTTAGGTATTGGGTCTGTTATTGTGTCCAAAATAAATTACAATAACACACAGAAGAATCAAACTATGTAGCTCCTATTTTGCTTATACACTGTAAATCCTTTCCAAATCTTGCTCGGCCATGAAACAACTCAGGCAAATTCTTAAAATGGCACCTGATGGTGACATAGGTTGCTTTGCTTCGCAATAGGGATTAGCACATTAGCTTAAGAACCGATTTATTAGTTCAGCAAAAGGAATCCATGAGTGATGGTTCTAAAACTTTCCATTTCAACTTCAGTGGGTGAATGGTCATGTTTCCCTCAACAATTTTGCACTGCCGATGTAACAGAATACTTTTATCTTTCGCTTCAATGATTTTTCCTCACAAGAAGCACAGGAGTCATAAAAGAATACTTCAACCTTCTACACCCAGTAGGTGCAAGGACATCTTCCTTGGATTCCACCTATATCGCTTTAAATGTTGCTCACCATGGCCTAATAAGCAATGGAGATTTTCCAAATTGAAGAAAAGCAGCTGAACATCAGCCAAAGGTCTCTGTGACGAAGCTGATGGCGGAAAATGGGGAAGAAATAGGTGGGCACTCGACCATTCTAGATATTAGCGAGCATGGCCAGAGGGACATTAGCATATACTGGCGAGTCCTTGGAAAAGAATGAATACGTATGCAAAACTGCATACATACGTCTGAACTGTTTGAATATAGAACCTGCATCTGAGAGGGCGTGCTTGCTTGTCACATCACCGGGTGCTGCTGTGAGGAATAAAGGCACGCCGATTTCTAACACCACATTGGAGTTGGAGAGTTTTCTTTCCAGATTTCGGATGACAGCGGGACGCACCCTGGGCGTTGGGCTGGTAGGAACACACGCGGCGCAACGCACATTCGTAAACCGCTCCTTCCCTCACGTAACACGCGAGAGCTGCAGGGACGCAGCCCCGGGGCGGGAAGCGCCGCGCATGCGTAGCGCCGCCACACCTCACCGCGCCGCCGCAGCGATGGCGGCTGCTGGCGGTTGAACCGAGCGTTTGCTGCCCCGCGCCGGGCCTGGGGAGAGGCGGTGGCCCGCAACATGGTGCGGTGTGGAGGAGCGGCGCTGCGGAGGGTCAGTGCGGGGCGGCTGCGCTGCCCTCCGCGTGGCCGCTGTGGCCGCTTTCAGCCCTGAGGCCTCGCCGTCTTGCACGCCTGGGGCTCCGGCCCTGCGAGGGCTCTGTGGCCGTGGGCCGGCCTGAGCGCTGCCCGTTGCTGGGGAGGGGTGGGTTAGGGGTTGGACCCGGTCATCTCAGAGAGCTTTTCCAGTCTTAGGGGTTCTGTGAGTCTGTTCTGTGTCTGCTTTCAGAACTTTATTGCCAGAGAAAAGAGCTACGTGAGGCATTTCATCCAGGCTTTATCTAGTGGCTCTAAAATGAAAGGTAAACAGAATGAATCGCTGATGTGAAGCTTTGTGCTTTCGTAGTATGGAAACTTCATCGATGACTTGCGGCTGTATGTGAGAGGAGGAACGGGTGGAATGGGTTATCCCCGGCTGGGTGGGGAAGGAGGGAGAGGTGGCGATGTCTGGTTCATTGCCCAGGAGAGATCCACCCTAAAGAGCATAAAGGCGAGGTACCCGCAGAAGCGATTTGTGGCTGGAACAGGAGCCAACAGCAGGTTCGTCTGGTTGGTGGTGGTGGTGGTGGTGGTTAGCGTCTGTCCTTCCTGGACAGCAAAACGTTTAAGTTACTGAGCCTGGCTTAATTTCTCCCAGTGTTAAAGCACTGAAAGGTGAAAAAGGAAAGGACTGTGAAGTGCATGTGCCACCAGGGATTTCAGTTCTTGATGATGATGGGAAGAAGATTGGTAAGAACTTGTGCTTTCATTTAATACATGCTAGTATATAATGTCATTTATCGATATTTATTGACATCTTGTAGACTTCTGATGCTACACAAATCCCAAAATATGTGTTGTTTGCTGGTTTTTTTTTTTGTTTGTTTGTTTGCTTGTTTGTTTTTGTTGTTGTTGGCCAAACAGAAATTGACAAAAATTACACTTAGAAACTGCTGGACAGGTAGAGACCCCTTCCAGAAATTAGAGATAGTTAATTTGTATCACTGTATGCAGCAGAAGAACATTTGTTGCAGCAATTCCCTGTGGCTGGAAGCCATAACGATCTACTATTGGATTAATGATGTGTCCTTAACCTCAGTTAAGTGTCCCACTAACTTTACTGAATTATGACATAGCTTAGAAAAATAAAGATCCTTGCTGAGTGTCAGTATTTCAGGTTATCTAAAATGTTTATTATTACAAAAAAAAAAAAAAAAAAAGGTAGTACTTGCTGATTACCAGGAAGAGCACATTCAATAGAGATATCTCTTTGTAAAATAGCATGGAAGATTCTTTCTTCATTGAAATAGGAAATCACACCTGAACAGTTGCAGGAAATTATGCTTTTTTCACTAATTGATTTATTTTCAGGAGAACTTAATGGAGCAGGAGAGAGATTCCTGGCAGCTCGGGGAGGCCTTGGTGGCTCTTTGGCCACGAACTTCTTGCCTTGCAAAGGCCAGAGGCGAATTGTTCATCTTGATTTGAAACTTATAGCTGATGTGGGCTTAGTTGGGTAAGTACTGCAGTTCTGTGTTGTGGTTTGAGAACTGATATAAAAAATAAAGGATTAAATTTCTAAAGGGATCTGAAAGAAATTACAGAGGTGGAGTTTGAGTGTCATTATAACTTTGCCACTTCACTTACTTCAAGTTTGTAAAAATAAAGACTTAAAACCTATTAAAATTAATTCTAAAATTTGGAAAACATTGGTTATGCTTTGTTAATCGTGGTCATCAGTTTAACATGAATTTAGCAACAGCAATGATTTTCAAAATATTGTTAGCAAAGATTTGTAGTTTAAGTAGTAGGTACAAAACAAAGCCAAGAGCAGTATCCATATTGGATCTTCCACTGTATGGTGCTGGCACAAGTGGATCCTTTCAATAATAGTCTTAAAGAAAGTGTGGAAGGCTACATAGCCCGCTCTCCAAATAAACAGCATGGAATGTGGAAAGAAAGAAATTACAAGCTAGAACAGTGGGGTTGTATTTATTTTGCACTGGTGCTTTTCAGTGTTGCTGTGCTTATTAACAACACAGGTAAACATTTATTTGGACAGAGCTTTTAATAAACTACAGTTGTGTAAGTGTCGGTCTGCTTGGCGTTATTTTTCTTTTTCAGTCCCTATTCATAAAAAAAAAAAATAAATCAGTAAACATTGTAAATTAAAAGCAACTGGTTTTAGGCTGAAGTACTTTAATTTGTATATTCCCTCACTGAATGGAACCCTGAATACAGCTAGATTTTTTTAATTTATTTATTAGAAACAATTCAGTAGCCCTGATAATAACATAAATATTAGTTATTTCATTTTCAAGTGATCTCCAGTAATCATGTTATACAGAATATTTTGGTTTTAGAGTTGTGCAAAATACAGGAGTTCTATGGTGCTTCTTTAACCCTACGTTTTAGCCTGTTTTATCTGACGGTTTCTCTTCAAAAATCATTAAATAAATACTAATTAATTTGAGGAGATGATTATTTTCTTGTTCAGAGTATGAATCAACCTCTGATAATTTGTGATTGTACTTTGATCTTGTAGAGTTTGTTATTTGTACTTCAGTAGATTTGTAAGTGGTATGCTATTAAATCAGGTCTGAAAACATCTAGGCTTTAGGAAGGGGCCCTCAAGTTTGGGTACAGGTTGTGATGGATAGTGTAGGTTGCAATTTAAACTTCAAAGAGGATATTGTGCTTCAGTGGAAGGAAAATACGTGCGTGAGGAGATGACCAGAGTAACCTTCCAGGCTGTTTTTAAGGCACCTTTCAATATCAGAGAGCATTTAAACTACCCTGAATAATTTTCTGCTCAGAGTCTGTGTCTCTGATCTTTTTGTAGAAAGCCTTTACAAGCCTATCATAACTGCCCCTCCACAAAGTCCCTTAATTTAATATTAGTCTTATTTTTCGTATTAGTTGTACTTGCAAACAGGCTATGATTGTGTGTGTGTGTTTAGGTGGAGAGTACAGAGTTTTTTGTATGGCACATACTGAGGCACCCACGCCTTTGTGACTTATAATTATTTGCAAGCAGACTCCATTTCCTTTGATTCCCTGTTGCAGTGAAGCACTGTGCTGAATAACTGAACTTGGGTGGAATATAAGCCTTGTGTGGTCTCCTGTGTGGAGCCGGTGGCTATAAGAAAAATCATAGACTGACTACAACTTAATGTTTGACAGGGATCAAAACTGTTGTGTCCTTTACAGCTCAGACAATTCTTTAAAATAAGCAGGGCCATCCATAGCAGGGTGCCCACATCCAGGTGATTAAGGTCCCTCAGCTTGTAGGCAGCCTGTGCCACTGCTCTGTCGCCTGCAGAGCGCAGAAGTGCTGCCTGGTGTTCAGTGTCCTGTGTTCCAGTTTGTGCCCACTGCCTCTTTTCCTGACACTGAAAAGAGCTGTGTTCTCTTAGAACCCTCCTTTCAGGTATTTACGCTGATGAGATGCTGGAGCTCTCCATGGCTAAGCAGTGGCAATTTCAGGATCACTCATACAACTTTGTTACCTTAAAAATCTATGCAGATACTTCACATACTTCACTTCCTGCAGCCCCGGAATGCATCAATGTATTTATTAAAAAAAAAAAGGATTCAAATTTAGTTAAAAAAAAAAAAAGTAACTGTTTAAAAAAGGTGTTAAAAGGTCATAAATGAATTTATAGCATTGAGTTTAACTAAGTAATACAGTATGTTGGGTAATAAAATATACAGGAATCATGTGTGTTTATTCACTGTATAAATTCTGACTTTCCCTCTAGGTTTCCAAATGCAGGAAAATCATCCTTGCTAAGCAAGATTTCTAAGGCCAAACCTGAGATTGCAAATTATGCATGTAAGTTTACACTCTTATTTTTAATGCTGTAATACTCATGAGAACAAGGTTTATAATAAAGGTTTACAGGTTTATAATAAAGAATAGGAGATAACCGTGTTGCTTGCTAAATAAGTTGCGCAGATTGTGAATTATACCAAATACCTTTAGAAATAGCTTTCCATTTCAGTAACTAGTTCCTTCTACATCCTCAGTTGTTCACCTTTGTAGTGCTTGAAGCTATTAATACAAGGTCTGTTTATTTTAGTCTCATCCCTTTTTGTTTCCTTTGAGACTCTGTGGGACCAGTGCCCTCAGTCTGCTGAATATGCAGCATCGTGTTCTTTTGCGTAAGCATCTTTGGAAATAGCTACCACCAGTTCTTGCAACAGAGTAAGACTGAAACATCTACTGAAAGATACACTTTATTATTATCCTTTCTAAGGATTAGCCATCTGAACATTCTTTAATTAAAAAGTAATTTGGTGTGCTGTGCTACTGCTGCCTGTATTTTGCCTAGATTATTTATCCAGAGTTCTACCTGTGAAAAGATGTTGTCCTCACCCACTGTCTCTTCAGATGCTGTGTGTTAAATAGATGTGATTACTGGATGTCTCTGTAGATTTCAACACACATGGAGGGGTTCGTGCATGAGGAGAGGTCCAGTGATGGTTTTCTGTTTGACATTACTGAGGAAAGCTTGGAGGCTAGTCAAAATTACTTAATTAAGCAGATGACTTGCAAAACAAACTGAATGAAGAATAGCACTTTGAAATAACTATAGTAGATTCACATATGAAGACTGCAGATGTTTGTCCTCCTTCCCTTTCTTCCAGACTTTAGTTCTGGATTTACTGATAAAAAACTTCAGGCCTTTGCATCATCAGTTCTGCAAGTAATTAAAGGGAACAATAAAAAACCACCACGCTGATCCTTCTGGTCAGTCTGATCTCCATTTCTCTCTGTCTCCAAAAATTCTGTTTTAAAGTTACTCTTGAGTAAGCTACCATTATACCTAGCATTAATAATAGTGTGATTACAGAGCCTATGTTTTCCTGACAGTTAGTTTAAAAGCTGCCAATGGCCCTGGGACATGCTGCGTGTCCTAAAATAATCTTGAAGTTTCTGATAATTAAGACAATAGAAATATTATAGGTGAAAACATAAATGATAACCATGCAATATTGAAGATGTTAGCAGCCTTCTGAATGGAACCAAAAGCAGATGATTGGAGAGAAGTACATAATAAATGCTTTGGATACTTCCCCTGTGTGAGCTTACATTTGTGATGTAGGGACTTTCAATTTATGCATGTTTAATAATCCTCAGTGTAGTTGTTCAGTCTGCCCATAAGTGACTGTTTTGAATAATCATGTGCATTTGGCAAGGGGTACTGAAGTTTGAACTGCGTGTTTGAAGACCACCTCCCCTTTTTTTTATGTGTTCTGAGTTGGCTGCCATATATTTTATAATGATGGCACCTAATGTTTACAGTAGAGATGTACAAGGATTTGAGTTCTGGTAATTTCTACTGATTGCTCATGTAGCTCCTGATTCTCCACAGTTTTTTTAAAGAAGAATCCTAACTCACTCGCGTTTTCTAATTTGACAGCTATTCCATGCTCTGAATAACCATTTTGAGTCCAACAATTTCTGACTCCTCTATTCCCTCTTTGGTATGAGAGGATCAATACTGCATACAGTGCCAAGATCTGATGAACCACTGAGTTATAGAGTTGTCCAATTTTATTTTTACTTTTTTCTCTGTATTCCTTTCTCATTCATTCTGCTTGCCTTTTCTGCTGCTGAACACTTGTATCATGTAAATCTAAAGTCAGAAAGTTGTTCAACTTTTAAATATTTTTGAATGTTAACCTTTTTTAGTAATTAAAACAGTTTTGTGTCTTTCCCCTCCTCTTTCTCCTTCTTGTCATAGTTACAACGATACAGCCTGAGCTAGGAAAAATCATGTATGAAGATTTTAAACAGGTTGGTATGAAGGTTTGTTCTGATTGTTTAAGTTGTGTCTAATGGTTATTTATGTTGCTTAACAGCATTTCAGAAAGAAATGGAAACTTAACTTGTGGAGTTTTCTGGGTGTGACAATTACATGGATTAAATGGAGGTTGTGGAGAAAATCTTAAAAAATAAAAAATAAAAATAAGGTGGTTCTATAGTCAAGTGCAGTGCATGCTGAATTGGTCTGAAGGCACTTTCATAAATGGCTTCTCATTTTCCTCTGCCTTTTTTCTGTGATTCTAATCCTGCATTATAATCTTAGCATTGTGTATTTGTGTTTGGGAGTGAGATTGCTGTGTCCTAGTTTACTCCTGTTAAGTTTAGGTGCTGATTAAATATTTCAAAAAATTACTTGCTATTTTATTCACAAAAGGCACATTTTGACTATGTGGAGATCTGAGGGATGAATGAGTTATTCTCAGAATTAATTTTAAATAGGAGCTAATTTGTCCAGCAGCTGCAGATCCATACTAGTGAATGAAGTGGAATACAGTTACTATAACTACTTCTTCTGCCTTTCTGGATTAACTTCTTTTCTCTAAATAAAAAGCAGAATTAAAATGAAGTGAGAGTGACTGCATGAACAGCCAGAATAGTGTGATCCTTAAGGGGTAGCTGGGTCCAGTTCCCCTTGTGGTAGCTGCAGACTATCTCACTTCTTGTGATCCCAATTTTACCTAGCATCTTCAGGTAATTCTGTGGTGCTTTGAATGCTTTCTGAGGATTCAAGCATTGGAGAGGAAAACCAATGCAATATAAGGTACGTTTTGGTACAGAGTTGGACCATGTAGGGCTAAGCAAACAGTTTTGTTCCTCAAGCTTGAATCTTTGATGTAGTTTTGTTTCTAAGTGTATGACGCAGGAGGTACTGAGATCATCACTTCAAAGATAAAAGACAAATGCATAACTCTCTTCACATGAGTTAACTGGAAAAGCTTACCCTTCTGATGTGAAAAGGCAAACTCCTCTTTTCCCCTTCAGAAGCAGTAATCTTAGGGGATTTGGTAGCTCATACTTGAAATTTTCATTTACTAACCTTCAGCATTATTGTATACTAAAGGAAGAAGATCTGATTTGCCAGGCTTTTAAAAACATGCAGGTTTTCAGTCGATTTGTGTTCAAGTTGAGACAAACCCATCAGTCTATACAATATATAAAATGCAGCTTTCTGAGAAAGTTTTGTTACCTCTTTGAAGTGGGCAGTTCTCTACAGAGATTCAAACACCTAAAGAAAACTTTGTTTATTCATTTTATCTGCTGGTTACAGGTAACATCCTAGAAAACTGTGTTGCAAGTAATAAGCTGGTTTGTATTGTAGCCTTTGAAAAACTACCTGCTATAAATCAGGAACTCTTGCTTTTACTGGAGTATAATGTTCAAGCAGGAGAACTACTCATACTGGCATTCTTTTCTGCAGCTGGTTTATCATTTCCAATGACCTTTACATCTTGGCTGATTCTGCGTTTGGTGACTTTTAAACATCAGTGCGGGGTGCTATATAAAAGCTATCCAGATAACATACCTCTTTTCTAAAATCAAGGAAACTAGTGATTGTGATTGCACTGAGCATCTGTGAGTGGGAGGAAGTAATTTGGCTTGCAGTATTGCAACTGCTGAAAACAAAACAGCGGGAGCAACTAAGAGCAATGTGCGAGGTGGCTGTCCTGTATCATTCAGGGGAGGCTAGTTCACTGTATCTTTTTATTTTCCTAGAGAACATTGAGGTTTTTAAAGAAATATGTAGCAGTGCCTGTTTTATTTTAGTACATTACAAAAAAAAGTAAAGGCCACCTCAGTTATGTTCTACTTGCAAAAGGACCTTGATACACAGCAACACAAAAGTAGGGAGTATGAGCTTGAGGTTCAGCTCATAGCATCAGGTCATGAAAGCTGTCAGAACCTTTCATGTATTGTACCAGAATATCTGAACTAAGTGCTGTTTTGAGAGAATCTGAGTTTTGTTGAGCTCTATAAAAATATTCTTTGGAAGACAACTCAAGTCATGAAACCAAACGTCAGGAAGCGGGTGGTTTTATTCCAATCCAGTAGTTATTCTCTCCCTGTTTCTACTTTCAAGTCTGTAGTTCACCCAACTGTATCTCATGTCCCTGTAGATGGGAGACTCTGAAGTAAGGCTTGAAGTGCTTGGGAAATGGATAATGGTTACAAAGTTAGTGGGACTGATAAGGGAGAATGTAACTCGTAGCAGAAAGTAGGCTGCATGCTGGAAATTTTACTGTGTGCTGGCTTTGAACCCTGTTTAACTGAATCCAGCTGCTGTCTAAATGGCTGTCAGATAGGTGTGAGCCATAACTTTTCCCCTCTTCTGTCTTGGCTTCCTGTGGGTTACTGGGTAGCTGTGGGGGTTTTTTAATATTCTGCTCTTTATTAGTCTGTCTTAGCTCTCCTTTACAGCTGTACGCAGCCCTCCCAAGCAGCAGAGACAGTGATTCCTGTTCATTTTGGCAGTTCTTGCTGGGCTCTGGTTGGCAGCTGGTATGCTAATAAAAATCTCATTTCAGCTGAAGAGCAGAAGATAAATACTTGCAGCTTCTCATGCTCAGGGGAGCAGTGTTAAGTGAGTTTGTATTTGACATCACAGTTTTCTGTAGCCATGAGGAGCAGACTTCATTTTCTTTTCTGGTGACAGTTTGAATTCTGTATGTACTTGATGATAGCCCAATTTTCCCAGTTTCTAGAATGTGTTTTACTCTCAGGTATAAATGTTGCAGCGACATTTTATGCCTCTGCTTTGTAGACAGCTATAAATAAAAGGAGGGGGAACATGAGGAGCAAGATGACTGTGGAATAGTAGCGTTGTGTTTAAGTCTGCTTCTGATGATGGGTTTTTAATGTATGGAAAAAAACAATGTGTAGAGAACTGATCCCCCACACAATTCCAAGGAGTACGTATTTGTAAAAGGAGCCTTTCACCGTAGATATTCTTCGTGTTTTTTATCTGGATTATTTTGTTTGTATAAAGTTGTAGTTGACATGAATAGTTTAAAATCACTTGTGCATATTGGAAATCTTTTGTTTGAAACTTTTGTTTTCCTAGATTTTAGTAGCTGATCTCCCAGGACTGATTGAAGGTGCACATAAGAACAAGGGGAGGGGACACAAATTTCTCAAACATGTGGAAAGAACCAAACACCTCCTCTTAGTTGTAAGTTGAGTAAAATATACAGCATATTGAAATCAAAGACAGGGTAGTAAATACAATGCATCTTAATTGCAGTATAGCTGGAATTTCAGAAATCATTTGTAACTTGGATACTTTATAATAAATATAGCTATTATTTTGTTATTAGAATAGAAAGTATACACAATTGTCTGATGCAAAATTAAATCCTTAAGCAGAACTTATTATTAAAACTTGGCAATTAATTCAGAGCTGTGAAGTGTTCCAATAATAATTGGAGCTGTTGGGTAATTTCTTATTTTTTTTAATCCCCTCCCCCCAGTCTTCCCATAAAGAAGGGTTTGAAAATCAGGGGTTTGAGAACCATTCCTCCCAGACCCAACTTCTGAGCACTAGTTTGTGCTTTCAGTGCCTATGGTTTTACTTTGGTGTGTAGTTTCCCTCTGTTATTTGCCCAAGAATGAGGACATGTTCACAGAGGTTGTACCACAGAGTAGCTATTGGAGAGAGCCTTGATATTGTAGTATAATTTCACAACATTAAGCTGATGTGTTTTGTTTTGTTTCTTGTACCTTTTTCAGGTTGATATTTCTGGGTTTCAGCTCTCTAGTAAGACTCAGTTCAGAACAGCCTTTGAAACTGTATTGCTTCTAACAAAGGTAACTTCTTATCATCCTAACTGTCAGTTTTATTTGTGCGTTGAGCCAAGAAAGTATTAGTTTTAATGAAGAAATTTCAAATTTCGTGTGTTTTCTAGGTTTACAATACAAGGATCAATTAAGAAGCTTAGCGTTCTCATAAGTGATAAAATCTTTGTTTTAACTGTGTGATGAAACTGCTTTACTTTGAGCTTAAAAGCTCCTTCATTGATCTGGGATATTTGTCATGGTCCAGTGAAGGTGAAACGATGCAGCTTTTTCAGTTCTCCAATGCATTAGCCTTCTGGAAGTAGGAATATGTGGGTATAGTTAAATCTCTGCCTTAACACCCTTACTGCATAGCCTAATAGAGATGAAACAACAGGCCTCAGCTTTGCAGACATTCGTTGTTTCTGTTTCTTATCATTGCTTCTGATTGAAATGATGCAGCTTATGTTGTGTAAGTTTAGCAGTTTTCTCAGTTGTTCTACATCTTTAGATGATGGGTCGTCAGAATTCCAACTTGTAGCTTTGTTTACTTTCAGCTGTGTCATGCTTGTCTTGTGTTTTTTTTTCTGGTATAAATCACTATCTGTGCTTAAAATCCTTAAAATCAGAAAACTTCCCCAAGAATTTTCTCATGTTTAATAGATATTATTTTTTTTTATGAACAGAAAAATAAAAGCCTTGCTTTTATTTATCATTCCTTTATAGGGAGTGTTTTAGAATCATCCAGCCTGTTTACCTGAGTTATCCATGTAGTACAGAAGATCACTGAAAGACTGAACATTTCCATATAGCAGGCTCTTTTAATACATCTGCTTTTGAGCCCCTGAGTAACCCTTGCCTTGTTTATACGACTAAGTAAATGAGAGAGTATATATAAAATTGAAGCAGCACTTTTTAAGCTACAAATACTTATTCAGGCTTATTTGTCTTTTAAGGAATTGGAGCTGTACAATGAAGAACTTCTGACAAAGCCTGCACTTCTTGCCATTAATAAAATGGATTTGCCTTGTGCAAAAGATAACCTGAATGAACTTATGAAACAATTACAGAATCCTGAAGGTAAATTAACTTTCAGCAGTTATCTTTAACGGATCTAATAAGATTGGAGTAACTGTGCATTGGCAAGTTGTTTGAAATTTAATAGAAATTGGTTATTAAACTTGTTATTTCACAGAATCACAGATTGAATGTATTTTAAAACAGATTTCTGCACATAGAGCTCTGTTTCTGTGTACTTTTATTGCTGGCTTTGCTGTTAAAACAGAGATCCTGAAAGACTTTGCCCAGCTATGATATGGGAGAGTTAATTTTAATTTCCAGTTTAGGTATCTTGAGTACCAAATAATGACCTTTCAGGATCCTCTTAGAGACGCTAATAGATATACAGTTTATCACATGGCTTTGACAAAGGCGCATGAAGATTCTGGGCAGTTCTGTGTAGGCTTTTGACCATTTTGCTGTTACCTTGTAGTGAATTCCTTTCTATTTCCTGAAGGATGGTTTTAAGTTTTCCTGATTCTTACACACATCTTGCATATTCTACAACTTGGGATTTCTTTGTATACATCTTAAAATAAGGATTTGGCCCTTGTGAGAGTTGGTATGTGATTATGCAAGGCTCTGTTAGTGCTTGTCTTGTGAGACAGCTTTTTTTTTTTTTTTAAGGTGAATTAAGCAAACAGTACTCTTACACTTCCAGTTCCAGTTATGTTTTTCTATTATAACTGATGAAAGTCGATTTTCTAAATGCAGTGGGCTTTGTAGTGATTCAGTGTATCAGCTTTTACTAACTCTTGAACTGTGATGTTTCAGACTTCTTACACTTAATAGAGGAAGAAGTGATTCCTGAGAACACAATTGATTTCAGAGATATAATTCCTATATCTACATATACTGGAGAAGGAATTGAGGAACTAAAAGCATGTGTAAGAAGATCACTAGACGAGGAAGCAGAGCAGGAGAACGAAGAATATCGGAAAAAGAAACTATTACTTTTACACACTTCAGGAGAACAAATGAATAAAGGCTAGCATTCTTGTGTAGATTTTAATATATTTTTGTATGTTCATGAACTCATTGCTATATGGAGCTTCCTTTTTATTTTTGATCCCTCTACCACCACTGCCCAGCCATGCTGAGCAGAGCAGGTTTTCAGGTTTATGCTGACTACTGACTGAACTAGACAGAGAACAAAGTGCAGCTCAAAGCATTGCCTAACAATTGATGAACCCTGAAATATTGTTTGCTGCACACTGGACGAACAGAAGAACTAAAACCTATGGAGGTAGCAAAGGAGCAACTTGAACCACTCGTACCTTTTGTCATGAATCTCAGAGGCACCCGGGGAAATCTCTGATGGAGGAATTTTCCAGGTTCTATTGCTTCAGAGGTGAACTGGTATTGCTGCTCTGACAGATGGTGGGTTTTTGTTATTTTTAAAGATCTAAAGGAGGACACAAATAAGTAGTCACAAGAAAGCAACATGTAGGAGCGTGGAAAAGCAAGGCTGATGCCTGCTGGTTTGTTTTCCACACCTGCTGGTGCTTGCTGTACTTTTCTTCATTATGTAAACCCTGATCCTATATTCCCAAACCTAATTTGGCAGTTCTCCCTTTTATGGAGGTGTGGTGGAGAAAATGAGGGCTGCTTTTCAGCAGAGCCCCGTGTTTTGGGGATTAGATTTTACAAGCAGCACGTTTAAAAGGTAAAATGTTAAAATAGAAGTCGTTTGTTGTACAGGATGTCTTTTCTTGATCGCAATTAAAATAAGATGGAGTTCATCACGTGCTTCTCAACTTAATCCTAGTTTTTTGTTAGCATACCAGTGAACTGCCTTTCTCAACCTTGTTAAAAGCAGTCGCTGTGAAGAGGGCTATCGTAATCCATAGCCCGTGCAATCGATGCTTAGCAGCGCGATTACCTTCCTCGTTTTACGGTAGTGCCGCGCAGGCGGACGGCGCAGGCGGGCCGGGCACCGCCTGGGGGAGGATCCCGCCCTGGGGGGAGGACGGCGCCGCGGGGCCGCTGGGAGCTGTAGTCGCGGGCAGGGCTCGGGGCCGGCACTGCGGCGGCGCCGGACCGCAATCCCGCAGTGCGACGGGCCTCCCGCGAGGGGAAGAGGAAAGAGACCGCTCCGGCGGGAGGAGCTCGGCTACGATGCCCGTCCTGCGCGGCCCCGCGCCCTGACGGCGAGGTGAGCGGCCGGGAGGTGGAGGCGACTCGGAGGAGAGCGCGGCCGTGGGCGGGCCGGGCTGCGGGCGCGGGCCGGTCGGTGCAGCCCGGCGCCGTCCGCCGTCCTCGTCGGCTGGCGAGGGCGCGTCGGCTTTCTTAAAGCTCCCCGCGCCTTAGCTAAGGATGCTACGTCGGGTCTGTTGCGTCTGGGTTTAATTTTTAACGGGGTACTTATAGAACTTGGAACCGAGTGAGGGATTTTTAGAAGAAAAAGCGTTGACTGGCAGCAGTTACTTTGTATCGGCCGCTTCTAGTTATGGAGAAACGGGGCAGCTCTGGGCTCCTCCTCCTGGTCAGCTAGCCGCAGCTCTAGTACCTTAAACGTGGGTCTTCACAACAGAGCTGTGCTAAAATCCGTCCCTGAAGGAGCACTGGGATTGGTAGTTGTTATGAATCTGTTACGAGAGCTGTGAGGTGCGTTGGCTGTGAGAACCTGGGGTCTGACATCTAAGGCAGGAAAGGGCCTCACCTGCTCTGGCCAAAGCAGCTTTTTTCCCTTGGGCTGGTGCCCGAGGTTGGTGGTTGTTCAACACCGCCAGGAGGGAGAAGGGAGAACACGGGTGTCCTGAATTGTGACAGAGAAGGGGAGGAACTCTGTGTTTGCAGAAATGGAGGTCTTCCTGAGGTGGGTGTTGAAGAATGTTCCGTGCCTGTGCTATATATGTGCATTTCAACAGCTGGTGACCACAGGTATCCATCTGGTAATGGGAAGGGTTGGGCTGGGCACTTAATTTTCTACTTAATTATGGTTGTTCATGAGCACTGGCTGATGTTTTTGAGGGTGTGAACCTCCAGAGGGAGATCTGCATGTTTGTCTTAGCTTACATTGTAGCACAGTGCACAGAAAACTTGAAAGCTGCTCAGAAATACACCTGTTCAGTAATACTTTTTTATTTTATTTGAGTCCTGAGCTCGAGGAGAAAAAATTAACAAACTGTACTTCTGCTCTGGGGGAGCGGAACGTGGTGATGCTGACCTCTGCCACCCTGCCAAAGTAGTTTGCCCAATTGCAACATTCAGCCATTGCAGTTGTCGTTGTTTAGTCTGTCTAAACTGGAGTCCAGTGCATGCCTGAATTGGCTGTGCCTGCCCTCGGTGACTCACATACAATAGCATTCATATTGGAGGATTCTGGACTTGGAAGTTTATTTCCTTATTTAATTAAAAAAATGGGGTAAAGTTGAGTAAATGCTGTAAAGCCTTTCTTGCCTATATGGTGTGATAGAAGTTTCTTTGATGCTTCACCCCAGGAGACTCCGTGTGTATGAATGTTATATTTCAGGTTTTGACGTAGGTGATTTAAAGTGAACTTCATGTCTCTGTGCACGCTAGCACAGCAAACCCACCTTCAGGTCCTTGAAGTTGCACAATAACATGCTTGTAGATCTGACACCCTACCTACTTAGCATGGAAGTGATTCTCCTACTAGGACGTGCAAAGCTGGTTTTGGAACTTAGTGTTGCTGTTCCCAGATGTGGGGTGAAAAGATAATCCAGGTAGGGATTCTTTCTCTGGACAGTGCTGGGCAGGTACTGGAAAGCCATCACCAGTGCTTCCTGCCTTTTTCCCTTTTCCTTCAAACCTTTGTGTGTAGAGGAAGGAATAGAGACCCACAAGTATATAAACAATTCAGGCTCTCTTTTGTTCTTTGACATGAAAAATGATTCAGCTTTTCCTCCCTGTTTTGAAAGTGAAGCTGGGAACCTAACCTAATTTCTGTGTAACTATATGGATTTTTATTTTTTGGTGAGCATTTCTGTATTTTAAAACATCCATAGAAAAGTAGTTGTTTTCCACCTTTCTTATCTGTTTCTCAAACAGAGACAGGTAGATAAGGAGGAGTCCTCAGGAGAAAAATCTTGGGAGAAGGAAAAAAAAAAACACAGTAGTTTGGGTTTTGTTTTTTAAATGGAAGAGGAAATTCTAGGAGTCGGCTCAATGCAAACACATTTGAAGTTCCATATTTCTGAATTGCAGAGTAAACACTGTTGTTGGCATTGCATAAAACAAATGCAATGCTGACTCTTCATGCTCTGTTTTCTAGATCCAGTAACAGCTTTTTCCTGGTTCTAAAAGCTGCTAAGGTTTCTCTTGATTTGAACACATCACTGGTGAGTACACTGAATCTATGCTCTATTTTTTTTTTTTTTACTATCTGAACCAAGGATTTGTTACTGCTCACTTGGTCGCTGTAACAAAGTTTCCCCTGCTGGGAGAATTGTGCATAACATACGTACAAGTTCACTTTTCCTTGATACCCTCTAACTAGAAAATAAACTGTTTTCTACATCTTTTTCCTTCCTACCCCCACAAGAAGCACTCGGAATTCTTCCATTCAAAAATAAGGAACTCAACCAAAATGCATGGCTGGCTGGCAGAAACAAGGCTTTGGAAAGCGGGGGTTGTGCAGAAGAATTTTTAATTGCTTTTGAAAAAGCATCATAGTAAATTACTCAGCAGCACCTTCTTCACTAGCTTGCAGCTCTGAATTTGGCCCATCTGTATTGTGGGTTACTGCCCATGTATGCATTCCTGCCTGACCTAATGATGCTGGTACTGAGAAATTCCCTTTTATTTATGTGGCAATGTGGTAGGACTGAGCATGCACTCTGGTATTGCATCTAGGGTACAGAGAGGGAGCTGCCAGTTGAGGAGAGGTGAACTTCTTAAATCGGCTAACTCAGTGACTGACCTCTGGTAGCCTCTGTAAAAGCCCACGCAGTGATGCACACTTAAGTGTTGCATAGAATCGCATGTTAAAGTGCTCTTTTTTTGTTTTGAAGACTTATTTAGCACTCTGTCAGCTGAGCAATCATAATGGGCTGTGAAATAATCTGTGCTCTCATTAAAGCAGGGACTCGGTAGTGTTATCACCACCCAAGTGTATGGAGCAAGAAAGGCACCAGTGTTACTGCCTACCAACTCGATTTAGCTAGCACAAATCAACTGTAATCAGTTTTATATCAACAAACTTGAACCTACGGATTTATTTTTTATTTTTCTGTTTAATTGCAGGAGACGTCTGTTGTGGGCAGGCATGGGCTGTAGGGATGTTCATGCAGCAACAGTGCTGGCCTTCCTCAGTGGGACAGCGTCAGTGGCCGGACTCCTTGCAGCAGTTCTGCTTCCAAACTGGAGGCAAATGAGGCTGTACACGTACAACAAGAACGAGAGGAATGTGACCATTTACACTGGACTCTGGATTAAGTGTGCTCGATTTGATGGGAGCAGAGACTGTGTGATATATGACCCGCAGTGGTACACGGCGGTTGATCAGTTGGATTTGCGCGTTCTTCAGTTTGCTCTTCCACTGAGTATGTTTACTGCTGTCTCAGCTCTGTTTCTCTGCATGATTGGCATGTGTAACACAGCCTTTGTATCAAACGTGCCAAACGTCAAATTGGCAAAATGCCTTGTGAACAGTGCGGGCTGCCACCTCGTGGCTGGCCTCTTGTTCCTCCTCGCATGTGCAATTTGTCTCACTCCGTCAATCTGGGTCATTTTTTACAACAATTATCTGAACAGAAAATACGAGCCTGTCTTTAGCTTTGACATCTCTGTATTTATTGCCATTGCCAGTGCTGGTGGTCTGTTTTTCACTTCTGTTCTTTTATTTCTGTGGTATTGTGCATGTAAGAGCCTGCCTTCTCCCTTCTGGCAGCCCCTCTATTCACATGCCCCCAGCATGCACAGCTATGCCTCTCAGCCATATTCTGCACGCTCTCGCCTCTCTGCCATGGAAATTGACATTCCTGTTGTGACACACACATCTTAAAGGGACAAAGTCTTGGAAGTCGAATTTTTGAGCTCAGTCAAACCGTGCAAATTGCAGGCTTGATTCTCTCTACTGCCTTGCACTGGGTATAATCATTTGTAAGGTCATTTTCCCCAAGATGCAGTGCAATGGAGACTTGAGATCAGTATCTCTGCTGTTCTCATGTGTTCTTCCCTGAACAGCCTTGGTAGTTTTTGTTTGTTTGTTTGTTTCTTTGCTTTTTCCTCTTGAGCTGACTACAGACAAAAATTGCTGCTAATGCTGGGATAGGACACTACAGTATTGTTTGTGCAGACTGTCTTGCATATCTGTTCATCCTTCTGCTTATTGAGATCAAAGCAGGTTTGAACCTCTTTGCTACTTTGATGAACTATTTTTAAATTCTGATCCCATTAGAGGAGCTGTGTACATGGACCCTTGTAGCCATGTATTATCCAGGTGCAGAGAGTGGGAATAGATAGAGGATTTTCATTAAGTTTCTTGTTAGAGATGAGAAAATAACCTAGTGTAGTCAGAAGTGTGTTATTAGTGGGAGCAGGAAGGTGATTAAGAAATGGATTGCAGAGCTTTCATCTGGACACGTGTATTTTAAGATTGGATGACTAAAATGGGGATTTGTCAGACTAATTCAGTTCTGTAGCACTGCTCTTTGTTTTGCATTGCACACACAAAAAGCCTCCTGCTTATGAACTTCTGTGATAGAAAATAGTGTCAAATTACCTTTTATTTTCAAAGTAGCTTTTGAAGAGAATAAGTGATTTTGCTAATAATGTCCTTCTGTACTGTGAGAATGGTTTGTGAATTACTGGAGACTAGAAACTTCTGTGAATTTTCTTTCTAGTCTTTTTTAAAGAAGTTAGTAAGTTCTCTAGATCTATTTTGAGATTAAAACAGAGACGGCTTGTATTTAAAACAAAATCTGTTTAAAAGATTGAATATTTTATTTGGATGCCATCTTCAAGACCCGAAAGATGGATTTGCAAGTCAAACAAGCTTACAATCTAAAATGCTTTAAAGTATTATTCAGTTCTGGGGAGAAATGTCAGTCACTACAAATGGATTAGGAAAACCATGAAGAATTTTGAAGGCTGTGAAAGATTGTTTTAGAATGCTGTACACAAGCTGTAACATCTCTCTAAGAAGGGAATTGTGATCCTGTGGAGAGATTTTTAAATCTAGATTTATTTATTTTTTAAGGTGCATATACACAAACTCATTGTTATTTGTATTTTTCACCACTGCTGTTTACAGGAAGTTTTATAGTCTGCAGTTGCTGCAGGACTTTCATCCTGTAGCTTATTTAATTACTGATTAAGACTTTGCCTTTTCAGCCTTGTTTTTTCACACCTTTCCACTGAGCTATTTTAAAAGCTAGCTGTTTCCTACATTTCCACATCCCAATTGGAGAAAGTGTCCTGTTCCTATTTTCTGTAAGATGTGAGCTCACAAGTTATTAGAAGCTTCAAAGATGAGGAAAGTTTATAAATTCCCAACCTGGGATGTCTTTAACTCATTTTTACCTCCTCAAATGCAGGGTGGGCCAAATCTGGAGGATCAAAGCTTTTCAGTATGGACTTTGAAATTACTCAGAAATCTGACGATAGTACATTGGGCACTGTTACAGTTAAGGCAGTTATTTGACTTGCTGAGATTTTGGCAAATTGAGGTTTGGGTTTTAAGATGTCATGGTAGTATGGAATGTTATTTTGATTGGCAGCATTCTGGAGGTTAGCAGATATTTGAATTTCATTAATCTCAGAACAAATCTGTTTTGCTAAAATGAAGTAAGAAGTCTTTAATTCTATTTCTGTGAACTCTTGTAAGGTCTCAAAAATCAGTTCATTTCCTTTATAATAGAAAAATGAACAAATGCTCCCCTGGGCAAATCTTGTTGTGTTACATCTGTGCAATAACAGTGTATTGAGAGGAATCTCTTTGTGCAAACCAGCAGGCCTCGGAAGCTAGTGGACCAAGTGAGGAAGTTGATCTCTGTTGTAAGTTCCCAGCACAGTCAGTGGAGCTACAAAGCCCTTCCAGTAGGTGACAGTGTGCTTGGTGAAACAGCAGCCTAAGGAATCACTGTAGAGGATAAAGAATCCTTAAAAAAAAACAGGCCTCTGAAGTTGCACAAACATTATATCCTTTAAGTTTTCAAAATATGATGTTAGATGAAGGATCATTTTTTTTTAATCAGATCATGACTTGTGGGATTAGATACATGTATAATGCTATGCAAGGTCACTTTTTTTTTTTTTATTATTTATTTTAAAATGGAACTTTGCTTTACAGTTACTCTTGCTGTCTAACCACAGACATTGTTGCTGCTGCAGGGACTGCTGCTTTGTGATTTCACGTCGCTTTGCTTCCTCCTCCAGTGTCTTTTCTTCTTTGTGCCTTGCTTAAGTTATGAGTTGGCCAGTAAATGTCTGTTTATTGTCAGTGTCTGGAATGCTTTTTAAGCCTAAATTTATAAAGCATTGTGACTGTTTTGGAGGGGTGATGAGTACATCTGTGAGTGACTTTAAAAGGACCCAAATCTTCCATATCTTCAGAGCCTGGCAGGCCAATGCTTTCTTCGGACAGTAAGTGCAGCCAGTGTTTTTTCTGTATAGTTTAGATAGCAGACATCTGTAACAACTCTTTTGCATTTCAACTTTGATTTATATGCATAAAACTTTCAATTAGTATTTGCTGCTGCCTGAGCTGATAACTTGTTGCTTTGTAAATTATGTTTTTTCAAAAGTCTGATCTATGAAAAGCAGGAATCCAAAAGTTAATGGATTCCAGTGTAAGCTGTAGTTAAAGTAATATTCCTCAAAAAGGCTGTTGCTTCCTGTTGTATCAGGAAAGCACAGCTGAGTCTCTTTCAACAGTGCTATCAATGTGAGTTGCCGCTGGATCATAAGTGAAGTTAGCTGGAAGTGCTATGCTCTTTTTCATCTTGTTTACAGAAGGGGTGGCCAACCTGCAGTGCTTGAGCTGAGTGCCACTCCAGTGGGTCTCTTGCCAAGGTGACTGCTGTACGCAGCAGTAGGCCTGGGGAGGGACAGCATTCCCAGGGCTTGGAGCAGACACATGTCCTGCAATTACTTATAGCAGGGAAGAGCTGCTGTGGAGTCATTGGCACTCCAGCCTCTGGCCAGCTGCTCCTTCCTGGACAGGCACTCTGGGTCTTGAACAGGATTTTAATTTGTAGCTCATGCAGTCAAAGGTTGGGTGCTCTGGCTTATGGGAATCTGTTGGTTTTTTTTTCTTTTTTTTCCAAGTAATTCCTGTCCAGTTTTTAAAGTTGTGTTACATACAATGTGGATTCTTTCTATGTGAAACAGAAGATATGTATTTTTAATAAAACGTTCTCATACAGATGCCAATTATTTCATTTAATTTTGTGGAAAACAGTAACTATTAGAATATGAAAGATTTTATCTGCTTTGACATTGATCACCAGACTTGTCAGGCAGTTTCAGATAACAGGCTTACAATACATAATAGATATTGCATTTTTAACTCCCAAATTTTGTAGTCCTGCTGCTTTAAAAAAAAAAAAAAAAAAAAAGACACTTTCTGAAAGTCTGAGTGTTACTTACTATTTTGCTTTACTTTTATTCTGAAAAGTTCTAGAATTCTTTTTTTCTTAAAGTGGAAAAAGGTTTTTTCTCTTAATCTAGATGATTTTGTGGCCATACTGCAGGCTCCAGGCCAGAATCTGGTCAGTGCCACAGCAGAGCCAAAGTAGCAGTGTGACATAAGGAAGAGCACAGTGCTTTGCCTTAGAGCCAACACCCCATCTTTTCCCTTGGGTAAGTTCTGCTGCTTGCTCAGCTATCACTCACCCAATGCAACTTTCTAATGCAGTTGAAAGTGTCAACTGTGTGGAATCACTTTTCTCCAAGATTGGTAAGCTTGGCTTTGTATGCGTTGGGGAAGCAGCGGTGGCATTAGCTGTCCTCCTTCCCTCTCCTATGCCAGCTGTGCTGCCAGCTGGAGAATATGCTGCTGCCTTACAGGTGACAGTTGTTTGGGCATCCCAGGGGCTTGTAACAGTGCAGGGCTACAGCAATGGCTCATAAGGTTTCTCTTCCATCATGTGCTGCTTCTGCCACCCCCAGCTCAGCAGCACTGTGGGGATTCAGTGACATGGGACAGAATGCAAACAGCATTAGGAATGCTGAGGCCATACTGCAAGTTCACAAAACGGTCTGGATAATGATATTATGAATATAATGAGATTTGCTGATAATTTCTCAGTAAACTTCTAGTATTTTAAACTGGCACTCTGGTAAACTTAATCTGTTTGGGAAAGACTGTTTAGATGAGAACAATTCTTGTAGAATACACACAGTGTAAGAGAGTTGTCAGTACTACACCTTACCTGAGGCAGTGGAAAAATGCCTGGATATCCTCAGCTTCTCTGGTTTCACTTCCTCCTTTGCTCCATGTTCAGACAGGCTCCTGTGTTCTGAGAGCTGCTGTGAGGCTGATTGACTGCTGACACAAATACAGAACTCAACAGAGAACTCGGTTTCTACCAAAACATGGGAGTGCCCCATTTCTTTTTGTACTAACATTCCTAAAAAGCTAACTCGCCTATCTCTGCTCATTGAAAACAAATCTCCGAGGGCAGATTTTCCTGTCTTTATGTCACAGGAACTGAGTTTGCATCTGTGGTTCAGCAGCTGTGTAATATTACTTATCCTTTCTTCTATGAGCAGGCACCACAACTAAGCAGCAGCAAATGGATTTTTTTGTTTTGTTTTTTGTTTTATGTTTTTGCTCCACTGACATATCAGCACTCATCAAACTAGACACCGAGAGGCCTCATCCAAGGATGAGCAAGCATGTGGTTTCTGATTTCAACACTGCTTCTTATCTGTGTTTCTGTCAGTTTGCTCATCTGGGTATTAGGTTGTTAGGGACAGAGCTCTGTCTTTTGAGTGCAGCAGCTCAAAGGAGCTGTCAATGCTGAACACAGGGCAACAGAAATGCAGTGAGCTATGGGTGTATGAAGGTTAAGGAAGCTTCTTTGAAGGAGTGAAACTGGGAAGCTGGACTGCGAGGGCAAGACAGCTGTCCAAGCATCTGCCCTATGAAGAGAAAAATATGTAATTAAATCCCATCTTCTTGCTCCTTTTGCTATTTGTTTTCTCTTCTGCTTGCTTAGTTTTCAGCCTCCTAGTCAGCTAATCTGGTTTCCCGCCTGGGCACATGAGCTCCACTGTCAACAAAGGCAGCAGGAATGTGTGAGTAAAGGGCAAGATGGGAGCCTGAGGTTGATTCTTTGTAAGCCCTTACTTTGAGACTTTTGTTTTAAGGAGTATTTTAAGTAAGAAAGACCATTCTAATTCTGGAATTTTCTGTGTAAGCTGATTGTGTTTGTTAATAGAATGAATACATTGAGTTTATTAGAAATGCTACATTTTGAGAAAAACATGGGACATCTGTTAGCAAGGAAAAAGTCATGATTCAAAACATAAGACTTCCCAAAGTTTGTTCGCTTTTCTTTCATTTCTTCCTCATTCACTTAAAGAGCTATGGCAAGGAAAAAAGGGAATTAAGCAAAATTAAAAGTCTTTAAATGGTAAGATTACATTTAAACGATGCATTAAGAAATTTCAACTAACGCTGATACTGGTAAGGGACAGATCTGAATATTAACCTATTTGCCTTAGCTCATGGTTCGATCTGAATGGTTTAATGCTATCTCTGAAGATAGCATAGTGGATGACTTATTGCACTGTTTT